ATTATATTTTACGATTTGAATAAAGTAGTAACGTGTTTAAATCATATTATATCGCTGTATTTTGATGGTGTTAGATTTCATATTATAAAGAGTCAACGAATCGTGTTGCTCATGCTTTAACTGAAGTAGACGGTTCTTCCCCAGATTGTTGTTCTTTTATCGAGTAGGCTCATGATTCGATTGTAAACTTACTTCACAATGATTTGTTATATTAATAAAATTTTGATCTAGTGTAAAAAAAGGTAGACATTAAAAATGATGATATGTTCTCACACTACAACAGAAAGTGTCATTCGCGTCTAAAGTTTTTTGCGTAGACGGGAGTGGACGCTAATGAAGCCTCTTTTGTGTCGATTTGTGGATGCAAAAAAATTACTCCGTAGTAAAAAACACGGGAGTAAGAAATTAATTGCGTCAACCAGCACCTAGGGCAAGGACTAATAAAGCGGAAAAATATCAGAAGTCCTATTGCTCCGTTGAACATTCGCGTAGCTATGGCGAAAATGAGAAAATCCCGAATCCACCGGTGGGCGTAGCTCAACTGGTAGCGAGGGAGTGCCACAAGGGTTAGGTCTCGGGTTCGAATCCCGGCAACTACGATGAGGGGTTACTATGCTGAAAAATGCATAGGACCTCTGTAAGTACCGGGGACAGAGCCCCACTCTATACCGGTAAGAAGAGCTATTGAGTTTGATTTCAAAGCTTTTATTCGTATTTTTGAAGATGAAGTGCAAGTACTCTGGTTTACCAATAATTTACACATTTTATGTAACATATTGATTCTATTCGGAAGAATTGATTGGATGCTAAGATAACCATTGGAAGACATTATTGGATGCTAAGATGAACAAAGGATTTACAGTTGGCCATGAACAGATGATTAATGGCTAAGATGAACAGATTATTTTTAACACATGTTATTGATTCATCTATCACTAAGTTTTTTCTGCCTCTATCAGTGTTTTAATTGAATATTTGGTATAACAGTACAGAGCTAGTTCTTATTGTATGTATGTAGACTGAAGTATCTTCATTTCAGGATACATAATGTGCTATTAATGATGCTGCATAATTAGTTATTAATATATATGAAAAGGTGTTGGGTTCTAACTTGTCAGTTTATCATCTGTTTGTTTGTTTCATATTTGTTTGTTATCATCTGTTTTTTTCTACATTTATCTTACGTCCTGACTATAGTTATGGGCACTTTGTCTCTATCTCTCTCAAACACACATTTTTTAATCATTTGGCAAGTTATTGCAACATTAAATTCCTCGGTTGTGTTGTAATTTTTCCTGGAAATTTTTATTTATTGATTCACATAGAGTCTTTGATTTTCTGGCAGGAAACTTTTTCAGGATTCGCAGCGCATTCACTTTTGGTGCCAAAAGATTGTCAAGACTGCTAGAATGTCCAAAGGAAAATTTCATATATGAAATAAACCAGTTTTTTCTGACCAGATTGTACCATTATGGACTTATGGTCTATACTTGTGGCTGTGCTGTAAGTTTATTATACTACTCAATGAATAATACTCCACAATAATAATAGTAATATGCAGTTCATTTAACAATGTGTTGGTTTTGTTTAAGCATTTATCTCACTACTTAATTAGTTCATTTAACAATGTGTTGGTTTTGTTTAAGCATTTATCTCACTACTTAAATTATTGGTGCAGGAGCATTCTATTTCGTTGACAATATATCTTTCTGATTTTCCATTTTTGCCGAAGGGAGGTCTTTGATATTTAATTATGTTCTAACTTCCACGTGCTTTGTTAAACAATTTAATGGATATATTTTTATATTCAAATGTGTTCACATAAGTTGACTAGTCTATTACTTGTTTTTGAATGGCACCATAAAATGAAAAATTGCAGGTTGCTTTCTCAAACCAGGGGAAGAAGAACGCAGCTAGTGAACAAAGACGACAATAAAAGAGTCATTCCAGAGTCGTTGCTCCTGAATATAGCTATATTCTCAGCATCTAAAAGGTCAATTACTAACTAATGTAATCTAAGCTCTATACAAAGTTTTATCTTCTCTTTTGGAACTAATTTCTTTCTTGTTGGATCCTTGCTTTTTCCCTTAATTTGGAATTCTTGTCAATAATATGATATAGTACTCTCATATCTCTTGCTACAAAAGTAATGATATTTGGAATTTGGATTCATGTTGACACATAACCACTTACAAACTTCTTTTTAATTTGTATCTGGTATATTTATTTCCTTTAATAAAGTGATACTTTGATGAACGATGTATTGTTGATTTCACATTTGTTACCATTACTCAGTTAATGTGTTTATTTACTATTACTTGGTCAATATATTTTAAGTAGTTATTTTTTCTTTGTTTTATTTTAGAATTTCAGGAAATTAAAGGTGCTACAAGTTCATAGCAAACTGATGATAAGATGAGTGACTATAAGCAGAAATCATAGAAAGGGAGTGGGATCCTTCAAAGTTATTTAATTCATTAGGTTATTGGTTTTTGCAAAAATATTTGACAGTGATGAGTGTTCTTTATTTGAATGTATGTGTTAGTAAAATGAGAACATAGTTGATGTATTTTGCATATTTAAGGATTTGGTTGATGTATTTTGCATATTTAAGGATCTCGTGTTGATGTATTCTCCATACAATAAAATAATTTTTTTATTAAAAAATACCATCATTAGCGTCGACATGTTGACGCAAATGGTGGTTTGTATTTTCACCAAAATGGCATTTTTTGCGTTGACAAAGTTGACGCAAAAGATAAATATTATTTGCGTCGACCAATGTCGACGCAAATAATGTTTTTGCGTCGAGGTATTTGCGTCAACCTATTTGCGTCCACTTGTCGACGCAATACTTTATTTGCGTCGATTTTTGACTTTTTGCGTCGACTTTTTGTCGACGCAAAAAACAGTTTTTCTTGTAGTACTACTATTTGAGAAAATCATTTTGTACTTACTCTTGTAAGTCATTCTGATCTTTGAACAAAGTATTTATGTTTTAAAGCAACCTGTATCGCTAATTTTGTATTAATATGACTATATGAGCTATTCTTTTTGAAATGTTAAGGTTGTCCGTGAATATTATGAAGTAGCTTTTTCTATATTAGTAAATAGAAAATCTGAAATTAGGCAGTACCGTGCATAGAATAAGAGTTTAATGATTTTTAATTTGGCAGCTTGATAACCTTGGTTTGTTTTAGGGAAATTATTACAAATAGACTAGATCATGAAAATAATATCACTTTAGTCACCTTTCAATCTTTTTTTCATAAATAGACTAGTTGAAGTTTTCTTTTCAAAAATAGGTCATATGCAGAATACCGGGACGCACTCGTTGCGCTGGGAGCAACATTTATCGAACAGTTCATTTACTTTGATAAGGGATATGTACGGCCGAATGCAATTGCTCACCTGTGGCCAACTAGCCATAGGGCATGTTTGGCACAACTAGCTGAAAGATACTTTTTGTGAGCTTTTTAATAGCTGTTAGCTTTTAGTGACTGAAAAGATCTTAAAAAGAAAAGGTGGTAGCTGTTTGATAAAAAGCTGACTGGTTGATTTAGTTCGATTTGGTATACAAGCTGTTAGGATTAATTAATACTAAAAGTCACTAGCTTTTCTTAGATGCTACTCTCGGTAGCATCTCAAAAAAGATCTTTTAATTTTTGAAAAGCTCTTAAATATTGTCATGCCAAACACACAACTAGAAGTTTTTAGGAACTTTTTGAACAGTTCAAAAGCTAGAAGTCAAGGACTTATGCCCGCCAAACATAGCCATAGGCTTGCAGCTTGCTAATAAGTTACTCCGAATGTGGTGGAATTACTGTTTTTTTTTTATTTTAAAATCAAAGCTAGAAAAAAAAATGCAAAGATTTATCAAAAAGTACAAACATGACAATAATTGAAAGAAATACTAAATTATAGAAAAATAAAACTCAAAGTCAAAATAAATATATACAAATAAAAACGGAAAATTATAGAGGAACATGTTAACATTAAAAATATGTAAATTAAATTTACAAAATGAATCAGTGAAGTGTAAAAAACATGTATAAAATTTTAAAAATCAATAAATAAATATTAAAATGTAAAAGAGTTTTAACAAGTTAAAAAACATATGGAGACATTATATTAAAATCTACACAATGTTTTTGAATGTAATGTATTTTCTAAAACTACGTATTATACATATGTAAAAAATACAAACCTGCCAAAAAATAATAATAAATTAATAAAAATAAAAAGTATAACTGTAAACGTTAAAACATTGTAAACTTGAAAAGAAGTATATAAAATTATAAAAATCCCAAAACTTTCAAAATAAATAATTTAATAAAACCAAAATAAATAGTATGTAGTAAAAATTTAAGTCTAAAACAATGTCCTGAAAAAATAATTTAAGATAAAATGTAAATTTAATACAAAATAATTTAATATCCTGAAAAAAGTTTAAGAAATATAAAAAATAAAAGACTTGAGAAAATGTGACGAAGAGGCTATATATTTTATCTTTATTTTTGTTGCACATGATTTCTTTATGTTTCATTTTGTTGACATATTTGCAAATTTTGTTTCTTATTGTTTATTCACAATTCTTGTGGTCAATTTTCATAAATTCAAATTTATATGTGTGTGTGTATTGGTTGTTTACTCCAAAGTAGAAAAATAAATAGAAACCTACAAAAATAAGTAGTAACAAAAAGAAAGGCCAACAATAAATCTCGATACACTATAAACAACAAAAAGCAACACATTTCAACAGAAAGCAACACGATACAACAAAAAAAAAACATGTAAAGAAACATGTAACAGAAACAAAAAGCAACAAAAAACATATAAAAGTATTGCGATAAATATACAATTTAATCTGGTTTTTCACATTACTATAACTGCATCCATAATAACAACAATGGTTTGCAATAATAGCAAAAGGTTTAAAGATAATTTGGCAGGGATGAATATGTGCACTAAACATTAGCTTAAAGTGAAGAGAAAAAGAATTGAGGGCTGCCACCCTCCCAACTGGAAAAGGGTATTTCTTTTTATTTTGGATGTGAAAAATGACAAACACCAATTGGTTCTGGAGTATACAAATGCTAAAAAGGAAAGTAAGCATAGTTAATTAGGAGAACAATTATCTTCCAAAACTAGTAATCATCAATAGCAAGTCACTTCTATGCATCCTACTTAGATTTTTGCTAGTAGATTATCCCCTAAGCAACGGGAATCCCCACACTATAGGAGCAACGGCAATTCCTCCAATTGTCGACACTCTTATACAGACTTTGAAAGCATCATGAATTCCTTATTGAGCACCAGTGATAGTGTCAATCATGACAATATGGAGAGGAAGCCCACATGTACAGAGACCTAGTGCCCCATCTTCTTTACAACATCACCAACAGTGGTCTCTTTGCATTGTTGAGAAATGAGACAAGATTATCAACGGGATGGATGACTGGCACACAAAACACCAGATTTACCTGCCACTTTGACTACAGACTCCATATATATGGCTTTGCAGACTCGTTTGATATTAAAAGGCGCATGTTTTTCTCTAAGACTGCAATGCTCATCCATCAGATTCAGGCATGTAAACTAGAAACTGATGCAATTATGTCTGTTAATGTAAATTATGGCGGCAAAGAGGTCATAAGCAATTAAGCATTACTTAACATCTCTACAGTCTCTCACTAATGTCTCAGAACCAGAGGAGGTCATTACTAATTAGCTAACTAAAAGCATAATTAAATCTGTTAACTATTTTGGAAGGAAAAGGGAAAGTTCACTATTCTGCAAATAAGCATTATAAGAAAAAGTTGGCTACCAAATATAATATGAACCCCAAAATTGGTTACCAAATACTAAAACAATGTTAATGACTGATAATGAAGGCATTTCCCATTCTTAAGCAACAAGAAATTCATCCAGCAATACGCCTCCAAGTTAATTATTAAATCAAATTATTATCTAAAAGTGCAGATTGCAATTAAATAGTTTAGCAACTGTAAGAAACCTGCACAAAGTAAAAAAGAAATAGAAAGCTAGGGAGCATACATAACTTGAAACTTCAATTTTGTTTTGCCATGATTTTAGATTATGTTTTTCATGTAATGTCCTAGAAAGTAGTTATCACTACCTAATAAAAGAAAAATCAGGAAGCAATTGTAATGTTCGAGATAAATAACAACCACATGCACCAAATAATAAAAATGTTTAAAGTATAGCAAGGTAAAAAGAGCTGCATAAATTAAATACTCATACGAAAACAGATCTTGAATATCAAGGTGTTCATATTTTAAGTATAGAAAGGTAAACAAGCTGCATAGGTTTAATTCATACCAAAATAGGTCCTGAGGCTGCTTTCACTACACGTGATCCTGCATAAGCACTGCAAATTCCGCATAAGCAGTGTTTATAAATTATGTATAAGAGGATTCTGAGGATGGTTTTACTACACCAGTGTTTAGCACTGCAAATCCAATAGGTTGTTCTTATATGTTAGCTACCAAAACTAGAAATTACAGGAGTTTAATTTTTGAATGATCATTGTTAAAAAAAAAAGATAGAAGGGGTGGAGGAACAACTTCAGAAGCATTGCTGAAGGGTCGATGGAGAAATCCGTCGATCGATTAAACGGTCAGCTGAAGGATGGATGGATTCTGATACCTTAGAGATGAGGGACCAGTCAGACAATGACATATTGATACTTTCTGGTGACTTTGCAGGACAATATAGGAGATTTGAAATCGAACGAAGAGGATTAGATGTGTGCTTGATTACGCCGGTGAAGCTACTTCCGTTGGTGGCCGAAGGGAGAGAGTGTAGCAGCACCGTAGAGACATCGACGATTGAGAGACGCGGAGTAACACATCTCCCTCCTCCATCTCCGGCTTGAAATCACCGAATCCAACTTTCTGTTTTAGTGGAATTTAGGGATTTGAGTTAGAGTTTAGGTATGGATGATTTTTGAAATAGAAGGTTTGATAAGTGAAAAGAGAAAAGTTTAAGAATGAAAAGAATATGGGAAACTATCAAATAAGTTTTCGTACTATACTGAAAAAGTCAATCAAGTCCTCCAACTTCTAAAAGATGTTCAAATTGACTATTTACCCGGTAGACAACCGGTTAACAAGTTACTCAGTCCATGTGGCAATCTACGTGAGTAAACTTACTTTTTTTCATTTCCTTTCTTTATTCAATTTAATTATTCTTCTCTCTTCTCACCCAACTGCATCTTCTTCGTTCTGCATTAGCTAGCAAGTAGCAACCGGCCATGGGGACCACCACATCTCTATCCAAGAATAGGTAACCTACAGTTTTACCAAAGACTTCTTGTTCATCCTCAACCCTACATCGGCGGCGGAGTGGTGAGATTTGGTGCTCCGGTGGGCGACTGGGCAAGCATTGACTGGGTTAGCACACCAATAGACAACCATGGTGGAAATGTTTCCCAAATTGAAAGCATTTGGAGATCCTCATTAGGCATCCAATTCACGCATTCATTTTAATGTTGATATTCTGAGCAGACCAGTATACATCCAATAAATAAGAATTTGAAGATTGAATATTTCTCTATAACAAATCGAAAAATCAGGTTACTAATCTCCATCAAAAGGTAGAATAATGTTCTCATTCATGAAGAACACTTCAAATCCTTACTACCGAAGGTGATAGAAAGAGGATATGGGTGAGTCTTGAACTCTCTGGTCACACTTTTCAACGGCTTCATCATCACCACCTTCGCCAAGAAGAAGATGAACAGTCCAAGAAGCATATGGTAACATATGAACGGTCCAGAATTAACAGCACTAGATCTATGTTTGATACGGTCAATTGACCATAAAAGCAAAAAAAGAACTTATGACATGTCAGCCACATCAGCAATTACCGGCATTAATAAGTATCCAACCGGTTAAAAACTTAGTTTGAGTGTTTTCTAATAATTTCAGGACTTAATTGAGCGATTATTTAGTACGGGGACTTGATTGACTTTTTTTATATAGTACGAGGACTTATTTGATAGTTTTCCCAAAAGAAAATAACTAGGTGACATAAATGAAATTCATCAGCCAAAAGTGGCTTTAACGGGATATTTCCACTTTGTTTTATTGCATATGTATTAGTTCTACTTACCAAGAGAATAACTTATACACAGTTGGACTTCACAAACATTAAGAAAAAACATTTACTGAACGGTAAATTTTACATTGTTTTGACAATGTTAGCACTATTTTGATATAGATTTGTTTACCAAATAAGAAAATAAGGAAGTTGACTTTCATTTTGAAACATCCAAAAAGAGAAAATGTGTCAAAGAAATTGAAATGGAGGGAGTACTTAAACAAAATATCTAACTTTCACCTATATAGTTGCCTAGTTGGAACTGAAGTTTACCCATCACTATTCATTTTCTAAATGGTAAATTATACGGTTAAGTTCTATTTACTCTCACGGGGCCACGGGTGCTCAAGGTACCATACCTTTTTTTTAAGTGGACTAATTAGAATATTGTAGTTAAATTATTCAAATAAAATTTAATGATGAAATAATGGTTTGGACCAATCAAAAGCATGTTCGGTATAATATCCCATTTTTTAGACTAGTACCATAGCACTCACCTTTTTAAATATGAGAGATTTTTTAGAGACTTTTCTATCCAGTACACCTTTCCGCAAAAAATATACCGCAAAAGATGGGCAACGTCAAATTTAATTTTTGATCAAATAAGTGTAGTTTATGGTGGAAAAACCCTTAATGCAAATAAATTTATTACTTACAAAATCAATTGTAATTTGCAAGTGAGTACATAAAATGATAAAATTACAGAATTAAAGAACTAAATCTACAATTTGCAAGTGGGTCCGATGCTAACATAGAACTAAATCTATGTTTTATCTTTTAAAATAGATTGAACCATTCCAATTGACCATAATAAGTGCTATTAATTCCACTTTCTCTTTGAGCATCTGTTCATAAGATTGATTAGGAAATAGTTGTTTATATAGATATCAATTGAGCTATATATTATTTCTCAGCCCTGGAAATTGTGGAAAAGTTCATGAATTGAAACTATTTTGTTGATAATGAAGTATTATGGGGACGATTTAAAAAAAATACGTAGTTGTATACTATCCTATGTTCTATAATTCTTGCAACATTTGACTTTCACGGTTACCATAATTAACGCTGTAGTCACGGATTTAGTCACGGACCGCAGTGTAAAAAATTCGTGACTAACTCTGTTAGTCACGGATTTTGTTCGTGACTAAATCCGTGATTGTTTGGGCGTGACTAAATTTAGTCACGCCAAATTGTCCGTGACTAAATGTAGTCACGGATTAGTCACGGACCAGATCCGTGACTAAAATGTCACCTGAATAGATGCTCCTGCACTTTAGTCACGGCTGAGATCCATGATTACTTTTTTTATTATTTTTTTCATTAGTCACGGACGTGTCCGTGACTATAATTTTTTTTTTAAATTCGCCCATTTTAGTCATGGCAATTTCCGTGACTACGTTTTTAAATTTCAAAAACCCGCGGTTCGCATTTTCAAATTTTTCAAATTTCATATTAGTCACGGTCATGAATCCGTGACTAATTGTTTTTTTTTTTAAAAAAATTAATTTTAAATTAATAAAAAGAAATCCGGACTAAAAAACTGAGTCACGGCTCAGATCCGTGACTAAGTTTTTTGGTTTTTTTTTAAAAAAGTTTTTCCTTTTTTTTTTTATAAAAAAACGTTTTTTTTAAATATAATTTTTTAAAATTTCTTTGAAATGTAATTTTTAAGAAAAAATTACATTTAAAAAAACAATTACAACATTAAATAAAAGACAGAATGCATGCACACAGACAACAAACTTAATAAAAATTATTATGGAATGATAAAAGTAATATGAAATGTTAAACTAATAAATGTATTATTATTACATGTCCGGTCGTCGGACTCCATTATGATAAAAACTAGTATTTTCATGATCATATGCATCATTATTATCATCAACAAGAAAATCTGCGGGGTCCACACGGTCTTCGGACTGCTCGGGGTCTTCGGGTCGGGTTCCTCCTCGGCTGGGTCCTCCTCGGGGTCCATGGCTTGCTCCACGACTGCCTCCTCCGGATGACTGGTATGGATTCAAAAAATCATACGAGATAGATCCGAATGTTGGCCCCATCGTAGGCATGCCACCATACCCGGAGTTAGAATGAAAACCCATATTGCCCATGTGCGGAACTTGAGGAGTCTGCTCAGGGTGAAATATGTACAGGCGAGGAAGAGTCTGATGCAGAGGCTGGAATCCGGCACGCATGATCCGTTCCATCGCCTCCAACTGGGCTCTTGTTTCTTCCTCCTTTCTCCGTTGCTCCTCCAATGCCCGTTGTTGCTCCTCTAGTTCACGCTGCATTTGGGCAATACGTGGATCCTCTCCCCGCCTTGATCGAGAAGATGAAGCGCCAGTGTTACGGTCTAACAAAATCCGTTGCCCCTCAGCCCCCATGCAGGGAACCCGACCCTTGTACACCCCAGTAGCTTCAACGATCGCATCATCTTCCGCATCGGAATCGAGCTCATCTTCCTGGGTCAAGCCTCGCTCCGCACGCCGCCTCTCGACAGTTTCATTATACTTCGTCTGCATTTAAAAAATATATTGAAATGTTTACCTACTTAGGTTTGGAATGTTACTAAATAACAAAAATGATGTTAATTACTTCGAGTTCGGTGATGCGGGGTGGCATTTTGGCTTCCGACTCATCGTCGTGCTTCGTCCTGCAGTGCTTGATGACCTTCATAATACTAACCCGCTTCTTCTCGGGCCCGCCTAATTGGTTCGAAAAAGGCTTAAATTCATAAATAAATGTACAAAATGAAAGATTGTAATGATGGTAGGTTTTTTTTAATAAGACTTACAAGAGTTTCTCTATGTCCACTCTGAGATTTGCGACCCCCGTGCCACTGCGTCTCCAATGCCTTATCGGACATCCGGTTTTTCTTACCGGATTCACTTCTGGCCAAGAATTTCGAATCCGAAGACCAGTGGCGACAAAGGTTGGCCCACACTTCATCCAAAACCCATCTAGGCTGCACCGCACGCTCACGGGCACGCCTAAAAGTGGGCCGAAGCCAGGTCGAAATCCTGGCATTATAGGCTCTAAGAATGTCGGGACCGTGCGCTTGAGTCCATCGAAAGCGACCCTTTATTGAAAATACTGGATTACTTAATAATTTATTAATATTAGGCTAATACAATTATGCAGGGAACATTCATTTATCTTTACCTTGAACAGATTCCACCATAGTTCGCGGACTTTTGGGTCAACATCCATGTAGCAGGCCCAATTCCCAAGAAAGTGTTCTCCAATTATGTTTTTTATGGCTTTGAAAACTGCTTTGTCGCTTCAAAAAATTAATAGTATTTATTTATATAAGATTTGGTTAGATTATTTGACATTATATAAAATTATTTGACATAAGGTTTGTTCATAGCTACTTACTTAGCAACGTCATGAGGTGTCACCCAAACCGCATTTTTTAAACTGCTTATATCCAGTTTTTAAAAAACTGTTTTATACTTTTTTAAATAATTATAAAACCAGTGTTTTATCCAATTTTTTACATTTTATACTTATAAAAACTGTTTATAAAAAATAGTATACTTTTTTATGTTTAACATAAAAATTCGGGAATATTTTTTAAATAATTGGGAAAACAGTATACTTTTTTATGTTTATTTTAAAATTTGTAAAATTATAATTAAACATGTTAAGTTTGTGAAAGCTTAACATGAGGGGGCAATTTTTTTAAATATTTCGGGTTAAAGCATGAAAAGCATAAACATTTTTTTAAAAACAGTTTATTAAGTAGTTTAATCATGCATATGAACATATATTAAACATATAATAATCTAAATCATTTAAACATAATTATCATGCATACAAAACATATAAATCATGCATATTAAACATATAAAACGAAATTATCATGCA